AGCGCAACTAAAGACACTCACGAAAGGGGACTTCCAGAACTGCTTCAGAAAGTGGCAAAAACAATGCGATATACATGTGTTTGAAGCGAGGAGTATTTTGAGGGGGATTAATGACAATGTGTCTTTTACTGTAATATTTTTAATTTAAACATTCACCATATTTTTTTAATCACACCTCGTATATAACAATATCACAAAGGATAGAAGGGGGTTTAAATGGAATTATATTGAGTGAAGGATATACACCTCTAATTTATTACATGGTAATCCCAGAGCAAACCCAGACAGTCTGGCTCCTGAGCAATTTCTCTTAACCACTGTGCAATGCTGCTGTTTGTCAAGTGAACATTTTTGCCACTGCTTGAGTACTTCAAAGTTGCAATACTGACAATAATTTATACCATCATTATCAATTTAATCCATGATTGGACTGAGAAATCCCTGAGATTCCAAAGGCCTGTCCTGCTCCCAACTGCTAAACTGCCAGAGTTGGGTCCTTCCACACAATTTGCTGTGCCCTGTCGCTTGTGACCCTGCTACACGGGCCACTGTTGCATGGACCTATGTCCTAGTTAGGGGCAGCCATCCTTTGGGTGGACATAGGAGGCTAGAATGACCCAGGCATGTGTGCCCAATCAAGAGACTCTCTTTTGCATTGTAACTAGTAGAATCAACCAAACCTCTTTCAGGGACATTAGGAGTAGCAGAGGGAGAAATTTGCAGAGAGATGCTGGAAAACACATGAATAAGAGTATGTCTATTGTGACTACCTAGCAGTGGACATCCATTTCAAGACACAACCCGGCCAACTGAGCTGCTGTGTTCATTACATGACAAAGATCCTTTTTTTTTTTTTTCAGTTTTCCAAGAAGCTGTGCCTCTGATGAGACAGTTGCCTTAGTATTCTTAAAATAAGCCTCCAGCATTTAAGATAACAAGCCTTTGTTCCTTGCAACCTAAGGAATCTGTCCAAACGTACCTTAAAAAGAGAAAATCCAGACCTGCAATATACAACACATTAAACCACACAGTTAAGGCATAAAAAATATCACATAAAAAGGGGTTATACAGCCTGAGGCACTGACATTTACTTTAATACAGGAAATTTTTAAATGTGCTATGAAAATTACTACATAGCTGTTCAAAAGATAAATGAAAATGTGAATAGTTAAGCACCCACGGAGTCTTCTCAATGCCATTTAAAAAGCAAGCCTTCTTCAAACTCTAATTTAATTCAAGAATCAAGGGTAAAATGGGAAGGCATTAATAACTCTGCATATTTTTCTAGGCTCTTTATGTCAAAGCAAAAGTAATACTCAGGTTATAAAGCTCATTTTTAAAGATACCTCAATTGCAGTTATTTTATCTCTCCATATATACGTGAATCTTTTTGTCATAATCAAAATAGGCTATTAGGAAGAGGATATTTATTATAACTAATTCAAGTTGAAAAAAAAAAACCAAAATAAAAAACCAGGTGCTTCTTAAGTTGTCAATTGAGCCCTAAGAGCTTTGTCGCCTATCAATCTGAGGATCTGTGTAAACACATAAATAACCTTTTCATTATTATGATTTAAAACAAAATCACCTCAAAAATCACATTAAGCACTAATAATCACTCTGGTTTCCTTGGCTTCCAAGTACATATTATAAAAGCTTACACTTTTCAGCAGTAATTATTTTGAAGTTTAGTATTCATATCTTTGCATGTTCAAAGCATTATGCAGTTCTTAATACTTCTGACAACTCAGTAAAATGTTCTGTATTATCTTGAATTTACAGCTGAGAAAAGATTTAAACAAAAAGAAATGGATTTTTAAAAAATACATAATGAATCAGTAGCAGAACTAGGATACAAATTTTTAACTTCCCAGTTTCTAGGTGAGAAAATTACAAGTATTAGAAACATTTAGATACATGCATTTTTAATGAATTCCCCTATTATATCACTGTTGTGGAAATCCCCGTAGAAGACAAAGTCTTTGACTAAAAGTTAGATCATTATCCCTTCTTTGGCAGCAGAAAATACCTTGCAGATGGTACAACTGTTTGTTTCAGGGAACATGCACTTTAATTGGGAGTTAAAAGAGATTGGGAGTGTTTCCCCACGTTGAATGTCTACTCACAGTTAGAAAACCTTTGAAGCTTTAAGAGAAAGCGGTTATAAACCCAGATGAGGTCTGAGGTGTGCTTACAATAATATAAACTCTTAACGGTACCAGGAAAGGAAACAAAGACAACACACTAAGATTCCTCATACAGAACTGCACATTTCCAGGGTACTTTCCGTCTGAGAAATAAATTACAATACTTTAATTTCAAAGTGAAAAATATTCCCCCTTGGGCCGGCTGAGTGGCATGTTGGTTAAGAGTTGGCTTGGGATGCCAGCTCTGAGCAGCAGGGCCCCCGTTTGAATCCCACGAGGGCCAGCCCTCCACAGCTAAGATGGTGAACAAGAGCTCAACCTGGAGCTGGGCTGCCGTGAGTTGCCAGCGACGGGGTAGGCTGCAGTGGGGCTGGCCGGCAGCGGGAATGAGCTGCCGTGAGCGGCCGTCTAATGGCCGGCGAGTGACTACCTCTCCTGGGAAGAGCGCAATGATAATACCAACGTAGGCCAGTGAAGCAATGCCCTCCACAACTAGACTGAAGAACAAAAGGACAACAACTTGGCTGTTCCCCTTCCCCCAATTCCCCAATAAAATCTTAATATATATATATATATATATATATATATATATATATATATATATATATATATATATATATATTCCCCTAATAGTCATCCATACAACTCATTTTCCTTATGGTCCCACTTATTTTATTCTTGGTTGGTTTGTTTTTTAAATCGTCCAAGTAAACTTGGCATATGTCATTAAAAGTACTATAATTCCAATTCTCGACTCTGAATAATACTTCATATATTATGGTTTCTGAAAGTAGAGGTATGGTTTAAAATACAGCTTGGGTTTATGAACATGGCCACAATGCATCTTCCCTTATAAACCATTAATTTAGTAAATATTTAATATTAAAGTCATGCCTTTATGACTTGGTATAGTTATTTTATAATTAATTTGAACATACAAATAGCTTAATTTAATAGGTAACTAGTGTTTGGACACCACATTTTAATTCTGAAAACTCACTGTTAAACACAAATATTTTTCTATTTGAACTCTGTTCAGTAAGTTTCAATTCCACATTTAAAGCAAACCTATCAAGTGATTCAGCCCATATCTTTACAATATATTCATGAAAAACTTGCTATCGGCTACAGCACTGCCCTCTGTCAGATGTAACCATAACAACTCGCATCTGCTTAACGCAGATTTGTTACTTTTATCTATCTTTCTACATGGGCTGGTGTTCAGATTCCAGCTGTATTCAATTGAGAATGATTATAACACTTGATAACCAGTGTAATGGAGGTGGGGGAGTCCCTTGCAAATACTGTAAGTAGGAATGTAAACTGGCCGTCTCTCTGGAGTTCAATTTGGCAATAACTATGTTTTAAACACACACTGTTTGATAAGCAAATTCATGTGTAGATTCCTCCAACAGAAATAACGTTAAGTAAGTCAAGATATACAGACAAAGGTCAACCAAACAGTGTTCGAAATAGTGAAAAATGAAATGAACCCACCTGTGCAGAAAAGATGTAACAGCAGGTCTGAGATCGCTACCTTAGAAAGGCTTCCTTGCAAGGTTGGCCCTTAGCTAGCATCTGGGAACTTGGCCGGTAAACAGTTCCCTGCACTGATACAAAGCTTCCCCTAAGACCCAAACCTGAATATATGAAGCCATCATTGAAATGATATAACCCAGATGTATATAACCGAGAGCCACCCCGCACTGAGATTGAACTGGTTATAAAATAAACTTTCCTTATTGTTTAAGCCATTTTGAGTTAGGGCTTTACTGCTTGCAGTCAAAAGTGCCCTTCTGGATTTCCATTTCTGTTGGCTTACATAAAATGACACTGAAACTATGGGCCAGAGCCCTGTATTTGTACATCCAGATGCACCATTTGCTAATTTTGTGAATGTGGGCAAGGCACTTAACCATACTGAGGTACAGTTTCTTCATTGTACAAGTGAAATGATACCTTGTATATCATAAGTACTGTTATGAAAAAAATAGAGAGCAGCTCACTGTGTTAGCTGTAAAATGTTTATAAGCTTTAATGACCAGACAACTTCTATCAAATAACATGGTATATAAGTGACCAATAATGGATCTATACCTCCGAGTGGCTCAACCCTAGAATATTTAAATCCCAGCAGCTCTGCCCAATGTCCACATTATGAAAACTGCCCCATCTATTACCAGAAACATCGGAAATCAGTTAAGGGAAACAATTTTGTTTAGTAGCTAGTGTGATGACATAGATTCTAATAAATGAAAGTTTTAATTGAGCTAGCATCAGTATTTATTTATTTTTTTTAAGGAGGGCGCAGCTCACAGTAACCCATACAGGGATTGAACCGGCAACCTTGGTGTTATCAGCACCACGCTCTAACCAACTGAGCTAACCCCTAGCATCAGTATTTTGATTGTAAAAGATTATAGATAGCACACATTGTCACTCCCAGGACATTTGCAGAATTCCTGAATAAACAATGCTGGAAAACAGCATGGAGTATTATCAACTGTAAGACAGGCTGAGTCAACCACATGATATGGAGACTGTTTGTTATTGGCAGCAATTCAAACAACATGGCACAGACAAGCTCCATTTTGAATGTCTCACATGAGAAATTAACAGAGAGGCATATTCAGGAATCTATACAATTTTTTTCTAAGTACCACCAATTCTGTACCATGGACACATGCTGGAATTTACATTACCACTCGTAAAGGTTTTATTAGAAATAATCAGTATTTAAATATACTTTGTATATATATATATATATATATATATATGTATATGTATATATATATATACTAATCATATTATAAGATATATATATATATATATATATATATACATACACACACACACATATATATGGACAGATGCATACATATATCTATACATATACAAACAGAATGTATACATATATAAATAAATGTCAGGCCAAAGGGAGCTTTAAAACAAGCACCAAAGAATATTTAATTGATTGCAGAAGTAGAAACTGAGCTTCCTAAGGTATCACAATCACATATGTTACTAACCATGTAAGTTTCATATATTAAAAAATAAAGCAAATAAGGCAAAAACTTTAGTGCACTTAACCATACAACATAAAATAGTTACTATACATCATAAACAAAACCATTACCAGATACAAAATAGCCATTTACATGTAATAAACATTAATTTCAAGAAAAAAGATTTTAAATACAATAGTTAATATTACCACAACTGTATAACATAGTATAATATCACAGGAAGTTGTAGGAAATATTAATAATCAGCAAACAACAGGATTATTTCTTTTGTGTGTGTGGGGCAGATGTTTATTTTTCTTGGGTGTGTCAAGGCAGGATTATTTCTGTAACATTCTAAATTCAAATTTTATCTCCATTTATACAAATTTCACAAAAGAAAATGTTAAAATTAAATTTCAGAGCAAATTCTTACTCCAATTTTTTGAACTTTTATTCTAGAACTATGTTAAAGTATAGCCATTTCAAAAAAATAACCTAGTTTCCCAGAAGAATTATTTTTAATACTGGCACTCTTCCTGTTCAATACACAAAACATAAATCTTTTCTTCTGTCAGAAAGCTCAAAATTAAGAACTCTGCACCAAGCTCTTTGTTCTGTGTTTTCTTTTCTTCTTGGGCGCAGTGAACTCTAAAGACATAAAAATAAGAAGTCTGTCAGGTCTTAAGTAATACTTAGCTGATAGCATACATTTAAACTATACAGATTTTTAATTGGTATTAAATAAGAATGCCATCACAGCAAAGCTCCAATAAGAAATCTTAAAACTGACATATACATGAGGTTATTTTTCTCCAAAATGATAATGCTGTTGAAGCCTTACTAACGTATACTCGTCAGCCTAAATCCTACTTAACAGTAAGCTGCTTTGAAGTTTTTCTTGGGTATTCCCTCCCTATAATTAGCATGGACCCCGTGTGCCGGATCTGAAAGGTACCTAGGCCAGTGCTAAGAGAGAAAAAGTGCCCAAGATTTCAATTTCATTTCAGTTAAACCCGAAAAGTAACCCAAAACACTAGTACCATACATCTTTTTGGCTACCACACCAGATGCCAGAACCAACACATAAATAAGTGTCCATCGAGAAATAGCTGTGAATCTAATAGTTATTGGTCATTAAAAATAAAGAAAATAATAGAAGATACAAAAACATGGCGATTATGAAAGGTGTATAGAAAACAAATATTCCTCACCAATGACAAACAAAAGCGGAGTGTCAGGACAAGGAATGAGAAAAGATAAACAAAAAAGTTAAGAGAAAGAAAACAGATTCCTAGAAGAGAGCAGCGGCCAGAGCAGAGTGCAACCGGCCATGAGAACTGTCCAGAGTAAAGCGGCCAAGGTCTGGAAGAGAGTTCTCTAAAAAGGTGAAACTGATAAAATGCCTAATGTGTCTGATTATACCAAGAGGAGGTTTACACAACTGAGGAAGAGTCTGGGGATAAATCAGCGATAAATACATAGGAAAAATAGGTTAATAAGGCAAAAAAAAAAAAGGTAGTAACTCTCTACGGAAAACAAACGTACAGATTAAGGAAGAATCATAGTATAGTACATGGCCCTGCTGCTGATAATATTGTGTAAATGCTGAATACCAATACAACTAAAATAATAATTATATTTGGAGAGTGGGGGCTGGGAAGCATACATGTGTTTGGAGTGGGAGGTGAAGAATATGAGAGAACTAAACCCTCGCCTTCCTCAGTGGGAAGGCCATAGTTAATCAGTAGAATTGAAATATGAAGAAATGGCAATATAAGCATGTTATTTAGAGAAACAGAAGTAAATACCACAATAATTAATAAAGAGTTAAAAGTGGCTGTCTTTGGAGAGTAAGAAATGGTCAGAGCCAGAAGACCGGTTTCTTATAATGAGTCTTACAAAATTATTTGAATTGTTAAACTATGTGCATATGTAGATTTCATGAAAACCAAATTTTTAGAAATCACAAGCTCGCCAGTAGCTATAAAGGTGTATACGTGTATATGATTAATAGTTTACACACAGTAAAAGCGAACAAGCAAGGCTGGAAAGAAACTACAGTCTGAAGCTTACCAACAGATGGTAAAGGACTGTTTTATGCTGACGTAAGCAAACCACAGAAGCACTCAGATTTCTGAAGGAACAAATACTCCCGCTTAATTGTCTCTTCTTTGTCTTCTATACGCTTCTATAGCACCCTATTCCTCTTTACCATAATGCATTGGTTTGTTTTTCTCCCACAATAAACTATAAGGTCCTTGGGGGCACAGACTGATATGATTCATTCAACCAATATTTACTTAGGTCCACCATGGACCAGTCACTATGCTCAGATCTATGATCACTGTGATTAAAATAAAATGACTCTTAAATTCTTGTAGTATATATTTTTATATCTCTATACCTAGTTAGTGCTTGAAACACAAAAGGTACTCAATAAATGCTTGTCGAATGAATATACAGCCCAAATAAAGGCATTTTTCTTAACACACATTATACTCATTATCATTGATGGACTACCAATTATGACTTTTAAGTGTCTTGATTAATGTTATGCTTCATACTAGGATTCTCCAACATGCCAAAGATAAAAACATCACAAGATCTCACAGCCAACCATCACGCTCTTCAAGGAATAAACCTTGATGTTCTATGAGAGTAGCTTTCCTTCAGTAGTTTGACAAAATTTCATCTGTACCTGTTTCACTGTAACTTTCGTTCTCCTCATCCTCTTCTGTAATTACAGGCATACTCAGACTTAAACATTTATCTTCCTTATGCATATTCTGTGTGTCATCTGGAAATGGACGAAAAAATAATTTTATATAAAAATAAAGCATGCTAATCTTTAAGGAAAATTTTTAGACAAATAATGTCATTATTACAACATAGAAATTAGATGTTTAAAAGCTAAAAATGTAATGGTAAATAGGAATATGCATTTTAAAGTATATGAAGAATTAGTCTCTTCCATTAAAGTAAAGAAAATGGAGGAAAAGGAAAGAAACAAAATTAGCCAAACATAAGATACCTTATTGAATCTTTATCATACATAGCACAAGTCACATCTGCTGACATCAGGGAATCATCATATGTTACTTCAACTTTATTAACTAATCACAAATGTAATTTTAAAGTTATAGCCTTGTTTTTGAGTGAAGGCACATTTTTAACACCACACATGTTCTGTAAGGTACGTCTCATCATAATTTGCCATTGACTTTCCATTTTCCGAAACATTGGAGGTTTTCTACATCAACCTTCTGTTGCCTGAAAACATATCCTAATCAAATTTATCACATACCATTGTCATATCAGGTCTGATTTAACACATAACTTCCATGTCCCAATAGCAACCCCCAAACACAGTCACTCTTTATTGCGCATGCTGCTTATTCTTCTCCATAACACTTCTACCGCCGTATATAATGTTTCTTTATAGTCTTGGCCTCTTCCCGCTAGAATGTGAGCTTCACAAGGATAGATTTTGGTTTAAGATGATGAGGTACTCCAGCACTTAGGAAAGTGCCTGGCATTTAGTAGGGTCTCAATAAATATTTATTAAATGATTAAATATGGATTCAATATTTTATAACACAATATTTCATAAAGCACATATGTTAACAAGTACTTGTCAGCACAGGAGGCAAGAAATTAAATTAAAACAAGTTTAAGCTTTCTGCTCTGAACGCATGCATGCTGGATCTTAACAGGGTGCACACTTTATAGAATGAAAAGATTGCTCGAAGATGGAGTTAAATAAACGGTACCAATACATTTCCATTTTAAACACAATTCAAACTTCAAAAAATAATACCAATTTCCCATTAAGTCATTAAAATTGAATTTTACCTTTATGTGCAAGTCCTACGTATTAATTACAATAATTTTTACATGATTTTTTAACATGACAATCTTTTAGGAAAATCTCTTTTTACATCTAATCACATTTTCTTAGACACTGAACCTATAAAATTTTCCAATTGATCACAAAATTATAATCAATATGATCTACCCGAAATTACTATTGTTCTTCACAATCTTTTAGCCATGTCCATCCACATCAATTATTAATGATTTTTTAAAATCCACATTTACAACCTAACAAAATCTATCCAACAATGTCATGGGAAGGATTTCTGAGTTAAAAACTGACAGCCGAGAAACAAACCATCTAATCACATGATGATTAACCACACTTTGTATTTCTACATTAAATGAATAGGTTTAAAAAATGAAAAGCGATGTTCTCCAAAAGCTCTTAAAAACAAGTATAATGCTTCACCCCTCTGTTATGCAGCCAGGAACCAACAAGTGAGCACAAAAAACTTTAGGATCTTTATCGCAAAGTCAACATATTAAATATAGCTCATGAATTTCAGCCACAGGTATGTTCCTCAGGCCTTTATCCAGAACCTAATTACATTTATTTTACAAAAAACTAACTTGGTCAACCAGTTTCTTAAATGATTCCAGTTAAGCAACAGCAAAAGGGCAAAAATAAAATTGCTATAAGCCTGCACACCGAGAACAGAAAGAAGACATCCACAACAAATGTGACAGAAAAACTATTTTTAAAAAATAAGACGTAAGGGCTGATATAAGAACTGCAGTGTGAAGACCTAAGTATCTGCCCCACACATTGAAGGTATTTCCTGATAGGATGATTATATTATAAAACCCAATAAAATATGCTCATGATAAATCTGAGTCATAAAGAGAAAATTAAATTATGTTCAGAATAATACATTGTCCTAGAAAACAGGAGAGCATAAGAAACATTTCAGTATTTTTCTAATTATAAAAATGGTAAATGTAGGGCCTGCCGAATGGCGCGATGGTTAAGAACTGGCTTGGGACGCCAGAGGGCCCTGGTTCAGAGCCCACATATGGACAGTGACACTGCCCTCCACAGCTAAGATGCTGAACAACAAACAGCTCAACTTGGAGCTGGGCTGTCCTGAGTCGTTAAGATTGTGTAGGCCAAATGCCAGTTCACCCTTCCCCCAGCATCACAGAAACGTGGTGGGCACCCAACTGGCACTGATGGGGGACTTGCAAGCAGATGAGTGGCCCAGGGTCTGGGAAGTGGCTCAGCCCATGAACTCGGTCTCCCCTGCCGGCCACCTGCTCTTTACTGCCCTGAGAAGGAAGCAGCCCCCAGAGTAACATATGCTTATCACATATAATTCAAACATTACAGAAATTTATGGGTTTAGAAATTTCTCATGATTCCTTCCCTTAGAATTAACCACTGTTAATACTTAATATGCTTCTAGATTTCTTCAAATATACACACAGTTTGTGCCTACATATATTTTTATAAACAGAAATGGAATCATATTCGTCTTTAAAAATATATTTTCACTAAGCAATGTATCAATATATTTTGGACATATTTTCATGTCAATATATATATATATATATATAATTTTTTCCAGCTTTAATAACCGCAAAATATTCCTTTCTATAGATTGACTATTTTATGTTCCCAATTTTTAAAGTTATACATTTGAGTTTACAGTATTTGCCATTTCAAATAACCCTCCAAAGAATGTCCTGTGTGTTTTGTCACTTGCAAATGATAAACTCCTAAAAATTAAACTGCTATGTTAAAAGGCAGTACATTTAAAATTGACAGGCGATTCCAAATTGCTTTTTAAAAGGATGTGTCAATTTACACCCCACTTAAATTCACATTTTTATCAACTCACACTTTTACATGGGTATTCAGTGAGCTTTAATCTTTGCCAATCTAATAAACTATACAAAAATCATGTTTTAATTTACATCTCTTTAATTATTAATGAGATTAAATATCTCTTCACATGCACATTGACTGACTGTACTTTGTAAATTGCTTGTTCGTGTCTTAAGCCCATTTTTCTACTAGGTGGTAGCTTTTTTTCTTACTAATTTATGAGAGCTCCCCTAAAATTAGAAATTTTACCATTATCATATGTGCTGCAAATAGTTTTACAACATGTTTTGCTTTTTATGGACTATTTTTGAAAAACCTATGAAATAAAAAAATACCTTTTCACCTTAAGGAAACATATTTTTAATTACAGAGAAATTGTAAGTAAGCACCTGGATCTTTCCTGAGGAATAGAAGAACAAATCACTTCTGCTTCAGAGTATGTACTTACAATACCTTCTGAGCTACAGAGCTGGTTAGCTGGAGTAGTTATGATTAAAGACCTGAACTCAGATCATATCTTAGAATGCTCTCTTTCTCATGGGTTAAAGCCTCCCTAACATGCCTAGGTCAATTCTGTAACAAATCTCAGATGTGCTAAAGAAACTGTCCTTAAAAGTTAATTTCAGAGTTTATGAAAATGTTTTAGGTAACTACTTAAGTAATAACACACGGCTAGTGAAGAAAGTGCTATTTCATAACTTACACCTGTCAAACATTCAGATGAAAAGGAACTTGCATTTCATTTCTTTCCTATCTTGTACTTGCTCCTTCTTTGGTCCTCAAACCCACAAAAAAACAAATAACCTGTTTTTCAGGTGTTTAAGATTAAAGCAGCTTGACCAGCTTATCTCTCTGCTGCACTTGTATGAAGGTTAATTATTAATAAAAAAATTTTGTGCAGCTTTCTAAACCTAAGTATCTTTTTGATACCTAGAAAAAACATTTTAATCTACCAGAAGTTATTTTTTAAATTATAATCAAACGAATCATTCTTTTCCTCATGGCCTCTGTTGTTCAACTATTAATGATATATAATAAAATTCAACATTTTTAATGTGCAGACCTAGGAGTTTAGACAAATGCCTAGTTGGCAATCACCACGGCAAGCAAAATACAGTCAAGTTCTAGCATGCCAAAAATTTCCCTTGTGCTCTTTTGTAGTCAACGCCTTCCTCTACCCCCGTTCCCAGCAACCAATAATCCATTTTCTGTTACTCTAGATTTGCCTTTTCCAGAATGTCTCACAAATGGAATCATACAGTATGTAGCCTTTTGTGTCTGGCTTCTGTCACGTAGCACAATGCATGTGAGGTTCATCCATGTCATTACAGTGTTTCAGTGGTTCCTTTATTGCTGAGTAAGTATTCCACTGTATGGTTATACCAGTTTGTTTATCCAATGCCAATTGAAGATATTTCAGCTATTGGCAATTTTTCACAATTATGAATAAAACCACAACAAACTTTTGCATACAAGTTTTTGTGTGAATATGTGTTTTCATTTCTCTTGGGTAAATACCAAGGAGTAGGATTGCTGGGTCCTACAGTAAGTGTATGGTTAACTTTATTAGAAACTGCCAGTTTTCCAAAGTGACTGTGCCACTCTGGATTCCCATCGGAAATGCATGAAGGTTTTGATTGTTCTGCATCCTCACCAGCTTTTGTTATTGTGTTTTCTGGTTTTTGCAGCCATTCTGACAGTAGAATGTCATTGTGGTTTTAATTTGCATGTCCCTGATAACTAAAGATATTGAGCTTTTCCTCTATTTGTCATCCACATATTTTCCCTGAAGTATCTTAGGTCAAATATTTTACCTACCCTTTTTTTTTAATTGGGTTGTTTATTTATTAAGTTTCGAGAATTCTTTATATATTTTGGGTATGAGACCGCTATCAGGTTTGTATTGTGCAACTATTTTCTCCAGTCTGTGGCTTATTTTTTCATTTTCATAACAGTGTGTTCCAGTGAATTTTAATTTTGAGCAAGTCCAATTTACCAATATTTTTACTTTTATGGCTTGTATTTTTTTATGTCACATATAAAAAAATCTTTGCCCAAACCAAGATCACATTTTCTATGTTTTCTTTCACAAGTTTTAGGTTTTATATTTAGATCCATGATCCATTTTGATTAACTTCTGTATATGATGGGAGGTATGAGTCAAGGATCTGTTTTTTGCATATAGATATAAAAATTTATCTGCATAATTTACTAAAGATTATCCTTTCTCCATTGAATTGCCTTTGCACCTTTGTAGAAATAGCCATACATGCATTTCTATTTCTAGATTCTCTATTCTTTTCCATTGATTTGCGTGTCTATCATTTTGCAGATAACACACTGTCTTGATTTCTGAAGCTTTATAGTTATTTTTCAAAACTGTTTTGGCTACTGTAGTTTCTTTGGATTTCCATATATATACTTAAGAATCAGCTTGTTAATTTACACCAAATAACCCTGTTGGGGTTTTTTATTGGGATTGCATTTAATCTAGAGAACATTTTGGGATTAGCTGACATTTTAACAATATTGGGTCTTCTAATCCATGAAGACCATATATCTCTCCATTTATTTAAATCTTTTTTTATTTCTTTCATCACTGTTTTGCAGTTTTCAGGCCTGCAAATATTTTGTTATCTATAAAGCGAAGTAATTTGTGTTTCTAGTATTACTATACTTTTTCTAAAATATCAATTTCTAATTATTCATTGTTAGTATAGAGAAATACTAACTCTGAACCTTACAACCTTGCTAAACCCACTTATTAGTTCTGGTAGCTATTATGTACATTTTTTTGAGATTTTCTGTGTAAAAAATAATTTCATTTCCAAATAGATACAGTATTATTTCTGTCTTCCTTTCCAATCTAAACGCCTACTATTTCCTTTTTTTGTCTTATTTCATGGTCTAAGACCTCTAATACAATGTATAACAAGAGCAATGAGAATAGGCATTATTCCCAAATTTAGAGGGAAAGTATTGTTTCACCATTAAGTAAGATGTTAGCTGTAGTTTTTAATTGAAGTCCTTTATCAGGATGAGAACGTTCTCTTCTAATCCTAATTTGCTCATTTTTTAAAATCATAAATTTTGTCAAATATTTTATCTACATATATTAAGATTATAGTCTTTCTCCTTTATTCTGCTAATATGGTGAATGATACCTTATATTCCTGAGATAAACCCTAGTTTTTCCTATTGTAATTTTTTTTTTAATATACTGTTGGAGTCAATTTGCTACTATTTTCAAAGGATTTTTACATTTATGTTCATGAGAGATACTGGTCTTTAGTTTTCTTTTCCTGTAAGGTCAATAAGCTGGGAATGTTCCCTTTTATTATTTCTGAAAGAACAGGATTGATATTATTCCTTTTTAAACATTTGCTAGAATTCCCAGTGAAGCCATCTGAGAATTTAATTTCTTTAGTAAACATAGAAGTACTTGGATTTTCTACTTTTTGTATTGGTTTTGGAAATTTGTATAATTTAAGAAATATATCCATTTTATCTAAACTATCTAACTTATTAGCATAAAATTATTCATAATTTTTCCTTACTATCCTTTTAAGTTATGTAAGGTCTGTAGTGGTATATTTTACCTTACAAATTTTTTGTTCCTAATTTTTTTCAGCAAATTCTATTTAGGATATGTTTAAGGCATAAAATTAGTCATTTGCAAATCATGATAATTTTGTAGCCTTTCTTTCTGAAATTATACCTCACTTCACTCTCCTGCCTAATTACATTGATTAGCTCTTCAAGAGCAATGTTAAATAAAATTGTAACACTTCAATGTATAACCACCAAACACGAGGTGGCCTTTGGTCTAATAACATAGACACACATATACACACACCCACTCTCTAAAATTAAGTTAAAGAAATAAGCATCTCCTTCTTTCACCTAGAGCATCGGTTGACAAACTATGGACAGAGGCCAAATCTGGCCCACCGCCTGTTTTTGTAAATACAATTTTATTGGAACACACTCATTTTTACTGTCTATGGCTACTTTCACCCTACAATGGCAAAGCAGAAAGGTTGTGACAGAAATCATATGGCCCACAAAGCCTAAAATATTTACTATCTGGCCCTTTACAGAAAGTTTGCTGATCCCCTAATCTAGAGGATTTTTAGAAAATCAAGAATGTATGTTGGATTTTATCAAATGTATTCTTGGATAGCTAGTAAAATAAATTCACATTTTCCCCTTTAACCTACTTATAAGGCAAATTATATTGATAGATTCCATCCCTGCATCCTAGAATGAATGCACTCATTCAAGGTGTTTTGTATCTGGGATTCTTTTAATACATACAATTGAGGATTTTTTTCAGTAATACTTGTAAGTGAAATTGGTCTAATTCTTTTTTCACAATATCTGTTAGCTTGGTAAAAAAAACTAAAAAATTCTCCTTTGGAAGCATTTGTTGGTTATCCTTAATAAATGTGGTACCTCCTCCTCTGAATTCTCAGTGCACTTCAAGCAACAGAACTTAATCATATCTGGACTATATTAAAGGTATTTAACTTCGATTCTCCCCCCCCCCCACTGCCTCAACGTAGGGAAAAACACATGTTAAAAGCCTGTAATATATCTTCATATACTGCTGCAGTAGCTAGGAGTGTGTTTTATATTAGGCATTAAATATTTACTAATGTTTTTAATGCTGCTTTTCCCCCTGAGCCTGCTAATCAGACTCCAACTTTATGTATGGTGAATATATATTATTTGTGTAAATTTAGAAAATTAAGCTTTTGAAATATATAATTATTTCTTAAGAACCAAATACCAAAGGTAATTTTATAGATACGCTATTTCAAAAGAAAAGCAAGTACAGCTTAATTAGTGCATCTACTAGAGGGAAATATGGTTTATAGAAGGTTATTACTTATCATGTCTTATACCTTATTGTACACGTAAGTTTGTTTCACACACAAAAATTACTAATAAAGTATGCCCTGGAAAATTCTAGACTGATTATATAACCATCTAGCTATATCACTTTTGGAGAAGTTATTTAATCTACATGAGCCTAAATTTCATCATCTATGAAATGATGAATTTGATGACTCCTAAGGTCCCTTTCAGCAGTAAGATTCTAAGTATATAAGATAATTAATTTACTTTTAATCTCATAATGTTCTCAGTAAAACAAGTATCTAATCCTTTTTAATAATGAAAAAAACCGTGAGGGGATTTTTTTTTTTCTTTTCCCTTTAAAGATTTTTATTGGGGAATTGGGGGATGGGAACAGCGCTGGGGAATTAGGGGAAGGGGAACAGACAGACAAGTTGCTGTCCTTTTGTTCTTAAGTCTAATTGCGGAGGACGTTGCTTCACTGGCCCAAGTTGGCACTATCAGTGCACTCTTCCCGGGCGAGGCAGATCAGTTGCCGGCCTTTGGACGGCCGCGGCTGCTGGTCGCTCACGCTGGCTGCTGGCCACACACGGTAGCCCATGACAACCCATTGTGGCTACAGCCTACACCATCACCGGCGACAGCCTACACCATCACCGGCCACCCACGGCAGCCCAGCTCCAGGTTGAGCTGCCGTTCAGCATCCTAGCTGTAGAGGGCAGTGTCACTGGCCCTCACATGTGGGATCTGAACTGGGGCCCTCTGGCATCCCAAGCCAGCTCTTAACCAAAGCGCCACTCAGCCNCAGCCTACACCATCACCGGCCACCCACGGCAGCCCAGCTCCAGGTTGAGCTGTTGTTCAGCATCTTAGCTGTAGAGGGCAGTGTCAGTGGCCCTCACATGTGGGATCTGAACTGGGGCCCTCTGGCATCCCAAGCCAGCTCTTAACCAAAGCGCCACTCAGCCGGCCCAAGGGGATACTGTAAATAAGACCCATTCACCCTTGAGTCTCAAAAAGACTTTAAAAAGTTACCTCTTTTTCTGGAAGACATCTTCTTTCCTGCTGATTTCAGTATTTCTTTGTTTCTTTTCTTCCTAGTTGCTCTGATTTGCCCTTGACCAGATGCAGAATCAGAGTCAGAAGAGTCAAGCTTGACTTGGCGATGCCTTCTTGACTTGGATGCCTTAAGAATTAGAAATCCAATTAACCGCAATGAATCACAAAATGAATCCAACTGATAAAGACAAAATGAGAAAGATTTACAGAAATACTTGTCCCAAAGTGCTTTACCATTACACTGGCTTGCTTAATACCTGTCGCATGTATATACCCTTTTATCTTTAGAACAGCAAAAGTTCTCTGCAGCTATCATCATTACCATCTACTCAAACTGGGTAAAACGTAGTTGTAGTTGCATGGGAAATGGAGGTATAAAGGACAAGCCGTGGTTTTTACTGTCTAATAAACTTTTCTCCTAACACTTTATTTTCCTTAGTTACCACCATGTATTTGGAGTGGAACTACCTTATGCCTGGCTCCAGGTCTGGCCATGTGGCCCCCATCTAGTCAAAATGAGTTTCATATCCCAGTGGCCACTGTGATTTGTTTGGGGGTAGGCATATAGTCTGTTTCATAGCTGATATAACTCAATTTTAGAATTCTGTTTAACTGTCTGGAAGGAAAATTCTCCGTTTCCATTGAACCTAAAGCAGGGAACATGCAAGGCTGGAGCTGTCATGAACAGCACTTGGAGACAGTGAAAGCAACACAAAAGGTGAGAAACGGAGGAAGAGTCCAAGGATTTTTTAGTTACATCAGTCAATGAATTCTCTTACTTGCTTAAGCAGAGACTTGCCTAACATAGGAGTTCTTAGTTAGAGTCATATATGCAGTGCAGGTAGGTATTAACAATTGTTTAAAAGCTACCATGCACTCTATGTTAATTATACCTCAATAAAAGAGAAAAACCACAACTATGCAATGAAACACACTTATAACAATTTATGGGGATTATAATTTAATTGCTTAACAATTTTAAAAAATTATTTCATAATGTCTTAAGATATACATTAAACATCAATTACCACTATAAAATATGGAAATAGCTCTGGTTTAAAAGATTTTGGAATAATTAATTTATTGTTCTTGGTGCTTTAATTCCACAATATTTTGTACTCAACTTACTGTGGTATAGCAAATATATAACACTTAACTAATCTATAATCACTTTTAATTTTTTTTATTTATTCCCTTTTATTTCTACACCCAGAAAATAATTTTCCACAGAATAAGGACATTCTTAGATTCATTAAAAAAATCCAGGATAACATATGGGATTACTCACATAAATTTATCAGTGCTTCCTCCTGAAACCCCACTAACATGAGAGTAAAGGAACAAAAATGAACAAACTCACAAAACACATATAATAAGAAACAAAGCAGCTGTAAAAAAGAATAACAAAATTTTGGGTGGGAAAGTGTGTGATACCTGACAACAGAAAGAAGAAAGCTAAAACCGTATTGCCTATATTGAGGAAACAGCTATAAAGCAAGCTGATCCAAGTGGCTCAGGAACTGGAGTCATCAAAAATGGGACTAAAAAAAGGACAGATATGTTGCATACCTACATAGGGAATAGTGTCCCATTTCCCAGCCTCAAACTAAACTCACCTCCTCCTGCAGAAAAAGTATTTGCTCCCTGAAGAGGCTAAACCAGAGAAACTGTAGGCTTGAAGAAATTATGTAGCTGAGGAAGGGAAAACAGCCTCTTACTGAAAATGGGGAGGTTAAGTGCAGCCTGCATCAGAAATGGTAAGCCCCTTGGCTGAGTCTCCCTGCAGGCTCCCCAGACATTGGCAGCTGGGCTTATTTACCACTTTCCTCCCCCACAGGGAATGGAAGATTGCTGTCTGGTAAAAATGACTAGATCCAAAAAAAAGAAATATAAACAATATAGATTTAAATATAGATTTAAAGCTGAATCCCCACATGACCACTCTTAAATATGGTCTAAGGTTCTTCTAACATTTGAAAAAAGCCACCAAAATTAAAGACAGAGATTAAAATAAATAAAAGTGGGAGTTCTGGGGAAAAAGAAGGAAACTTCAAAAAACTATAATTAACATCCTCAAAGAGATAAGATAATGCATCCAGAAAAAAAGATAAAGAATACATTTTTTAAGTAAGGAAGGATTCAAAGAAGAAAAAATATTAGTCATGAAAACATGTCAGCAGAAATAAAAAACGCAATATAATGGTTCAGAAGATAAAGTTTAAGAAATCTCCCTGAAAATAGAAAGAGACTAAAATAGAAAAATAAGAAAGTAAAAGTTCAAGAAAAGAAAAAGAACAAAAATGCACACTAAAAAGAACACTATCAAAGAAACAATACAAAAAACACCTCAGAACTAAAGGCTGTCAGATCAAATGATGCCCATGAGAGCCAAGAACAAAGATGGAAAGAAGACCTGCAGCAACTTAAGTCATCATGAAATTTCAGGATTCCAAGGATAAGAAGAAAATCCTAAAACCTTCCATGATCAGGAATACAAAAGCTGGAAGACAATAAAAGACAATGGCATTTAAAAAAAAAAAAAAAAAGGAACCATGGCATCAAAATTCTAGGTAATTGCCAGAAAAAATAACTGAAAGAGAAGAAGATGAAGATGGTTGCCTCCTGAGATTAGGAATACAGGGATGAGAAGTGGTGGAGCAGGCGACTGTTGGGTAATATAAATAAGTTATATAGGATTATTAGACTTTTTAAACTATGTACATATATTACTTTGATGAAGAATAAAAATGTAATTAAAAAAGCATCAGGTCAATTTCTATATTACCTTACTAAAAAAAATAATTTGAGGGGTGGAGGGGAGCGGGTACTAGGGGAATATATACCCACAGGTCCTTTCCCTCTGGGGAAGAGCTTGCTGGGTTTGGGAACAGGCAGGGGCTCCATGAGCCAACTGACATTGTCATCTAATCCGTCCAGAGAAGATAATTCCTAGACAGGGATGGGATGGGGAGGGTATTCATAAGGGCTACTTGGTGGAGATGGGCACCCAGGGGGGCCATTAGAGGGTCTCCAGACACACTCTGGCCCTTCCCAAAAAGAGGGGGGGTCCTTTTTCTCAAAGCTTTAACCAACTATGTATTAGGGCAGCGGTTCTCAACCTTCCTAATGCCGCGACCCCTTAATACAGTTCCTCATGTTGTGGTGACCCCCAACCATAAAATTATTTTCGTTGCTACTCTATAACTGTAATTTTGCTACTGTTATGAATCGTAATGTATCTTTTTGTTTTCCGATGGTCTTAGGCGACCCCTGTGAAAGGGTCGCTCGATCCCCAAAGGGGTCACAACCCACAGGTTGAGAACCGCTGTATTAGGGGATCATAGGCAACATTTTACTATTGATCACAGTCATAATTATTATTATATTACTATTTTTATTAAACCTCCCCCTACTGATGAGTGGGGGCAAAGTAAGTATTTATCTCCTCAAATGCCCTATTTCCAGGAGGGGTCGACCCTGACACTCTGTGAGGCAGTAAGAAACCACAAAGACAACGTTGTAAGCTTAAAAAAGAAAAAAGGAAAAGGAAAATAACTTACCTGAACAACCACTGAAAAGGCCTTTGATTTTATTTTCGCTAATGATTCTGCTCTTTCACATCTCTGGAAGTAAAAATAAACAGGAAGGGAAAACATTAAATATTAAGTGAAATTATGAATACCAACAGAAATAAGATTTCAGACAGAAGGTAGGGTAAAAGAAACTGACATCTACTGGACACATGCTGAGGGTCCAGTAAACACACACCACATTCTCATAGCAGGTGCCATGATACCAACCGCCATAGCTACTAATTGTCTTCCTTCAAGATTTAAGGAGGAAATAAGAACGAAAGCCTTGGTGAACAGGCCATTCCCTGCTCATCTGCCTACGCCCAAAGATGGCTTCTTGTCTCATCCACTGATACGGATGAAAACTCTGGAGGCAGAAAGCAGTACTGAGGAGTAGTAGCTTGAGCTCCACACTGGCTGAAAGGCTGACAGGGAGTGAGAAAAGGCATACTACAAAAGCCTTGCTCTGCCCCCTGTAAGGACTCAGGGCACTTACCACCATCATCCTTCCCTTCCCCTGCTAAAAACCATCACCATCCTCACTCCCAATCTACACCTGATGTGATCCGTAACAAGGTTTCCCGTAAAGAACAGACTAGCTCTTCACAGAACCCACATTTCAGAATTTCCTAATATATTTATTATAATACTGACCAAGGTTCACAGTGTTAATATACAGAATCACAGCCACACATAAAATAAAAAGAAGCTAATCAAATTACTGCCCAGTAAACAATTATAAGGTGAATTTTTCTGACCTCTGATTCTTGTGAATTTCCTTTCCTCTTTTCTTCTCCATCTGTAACTTTTGATTTTAAGGATGGATTCTGAAAGAGCAAATTTATGTATACACATTAACAATTCAAATTAACCAAGAAATACAAATCAATTTCAGAACAATGAGAATCATTTACTTTTAATGACTAAAAAACTAAAAGATCACTTCATGTTATTGCATCATGGTTCACCACCTGACATCAAGGTCATGGTCAGGTTTCAGAATACTTCTAAAATTCATCAATAAAATGCCTAAATCCTCCTAATGAAGGACAACATGTACTTTATGTGGAAGTTAAGAAAATTGGTTTATTCTTCTTTCCTTCAGGTTTTCATAGTTCTTAACGCTCATGACAGTTTCTTAAAATAGAATACTATAACAGATTTTTACATGAAATGCCTAGGTCATTTGTGTAACCCATTTGTGGCACTTAAAGTATTCAAACATTCTAAAATGTGTTGTATCATTAAAATAAACATGGGTAAAGGAAGAAAAGTATTTCCTTCTTCCCAAAAATGTCATCTCCTCATCATTCTCCATGTATATGTTTTCTTAAAATTAAGTTTATATAATGGAAAGCCAAAATGTGGCTACAAATCTTTCTGAAAAACAATATGTAAGATAATAATACCTATCTACAATAGCATTTGGGAAAAAACTAACACGTTATCTCACACAAAATAAGTAACCAGAAATTGCTTATTTTTACTTTTTTTTAGAAGTATTCACTAAAATAAGATGGAGTAGTGGTTTCAAAGGTAAATTTAGCAAGGCTGGCCTTTAGGTTTCCAGAGTCAAAAAGTTTCTCCAGCTGAAAAGGTTAATGTGGAATATGGGTAGCTGTAGCCTCAGTATTTGGATCAGAAAACTAAACTGAGGATTTGTACTGATGCGAGTTATTAATGGATAAACCAAGAGCTTGTGGTAACAGAGAAGCACATGCTCTGTCACAATGGCAGAAGCCACCACTCAGGTCCAGCCAGTAGTGAAGCGGAACCAGTGCTACCAAACCTGATTTTTAAGAGAAGTTGGATGTCTGGGATTTCACAAGTCTATCAATATTTAAATGCTAGTAACGAATTTAAATTTTTGAAACAATGTTAGAATCAATGCTGTGTCAAACAAAACACATCTGTGTGCACAATTTGGCCCAAAGACTGCTAGTGTGCAGCCTCTGGAAAATGCTAAATCATAAAGATTGCAGTAAATCTGTGGTATACCACGATGACTTATTCCTCTATGATTGTATATATGTACATATAATGTATATTAAATTATATATAATGTCATGATCATTAATTATAAGTTTAATTATATCCATAATTATACATAAAACCTGTCTATAAGGTTAAATAACACCACACAGCTAATAAGTGGCAGAGAAAAGTGAAGCCCCCTCAGTCTTGGCTCCACAGGAACATAGCCCCTGCAGTAGGCTGTGTCTCAAGGTCGTCAGCCCTGTCTAGCCATCCGTGTACAACTCAAATGCAAAGGTGAAGTCTCAGACAAGCAGTCACATACCTTCCTGTCTTTGTGCCACTGCTGGTGCTCCAAAACAATGTTCTTAATATTGTCAAAAAAATCATCCTTTATCAAGCTGAGGGCCTTGTCTGGATTGGACTTATCAGCAGAAATGCTGTGTTTCATATTCTGATAATGATCATGAACATTCAGCATTTCCTAAAGGTGAAAAGATGAGTCTTTTATTTCAATTTTAGAGGAGAATCTTAAAGGCAAAACCAACACAAAATAAAATGGCATTCCAAAGTGACTGAGTTGATAAGGATAATATGTCACAATATACTGAAAATAATATAGTCATGCAAACAAAATAGTACAACTTTGTTAATGAAGAGGCTGCTTTCAAGGGGAATGGATTCATGGAATTCAACTCAACAAACATTAACTAATATACACTGTATGGAGAAACTAGTTAACACAGGATTGCATTCTAGGATTTAACAAAAATTATTTGTAGTATAACAGATCATTAAATATCACTACTGATAACTAAGATCACATTTTTATTTCACATTGTCACACCAAGGCCATTTACATAGTTCTTTGTGCTCAGCTGGAAATTCCTGTATGAGGACTCTCATCCAATCCTCCACAGAGATGTGCTGACTTTCAACAGCTCTCAAAACCATAAGCTTTATCATTACTTCAGTGTTAACATTCAGGATTAAAAGAAATAGAGGGGGATTTATGACACTAGTTGAGGCATCATTTATTAATTAGATCTTTCTCCCCCAGAAACCTCCAGCCAAATGGGCAGGTCTATGGGGTAAGGAGAGGGCCGGCCGAGTGGCTCAGTTGGTTAAGAGCTCGCTCAAGAGTTTGAGCTCTGAGCAACAGCGGTTCGAGTCCAGCCCGAGCTGAGCAGCCGCTGAGCTGCCAACCGGTAGCAGGATGGCTCAGCTTAAAAAAAAAAAAAAAAAAAACTATGGGGTAAGGAGAAAGACGACACGTTGCAGGCCGACTTAAGAAATTGGATAAAATGAGTATTGGCACTTGGCTCGACGACCAGCAGAGAACAAGTAGATTTTGAAGGAATGAACACCTATCTGCTCAAGGACTCAGAAAATGCTTAGTAGTGATGAGTGCTCCCATATGCAGGATTTCAAAGGGGAACAGTGTCCAGACACAGGGAACCCTTCACTTTTTACAGTTTACAATGTGCTTTACTCCCATTATTTCATGGTTTTGAGCCTGACTTCTGTCACCTGCTAGATCACTCGCTTCAGTAAATCCCTCAATCTGCGAATCACATTCCACATTTGTACAAAATGAAGTCATACCACCCAATGCCACTGCGAAAGGATTAAGTGAGCTGCAAAGTGAGAGTGTGCATATAATGTAAAGCACTATACAAAAGTAAAGGATTAAGAAATAAAGGAAAGTGTCTGGACTTTGGAGCCCTACAGACTTGCACATTCAAATCCGGTGTCTGCACCTTACTTTATACAAATTACTTAACTTCTCTGAGACTCAGTTTCCTTGTTTTTAAAACTAGGAAAATACCCCCTCCTCTGCAAGGTTACTATGATGATTAGTGAGCTAACATACATAAAACATCTAACACAGTTCCTGGCAAATGTTGAAAACTCAACACATAATGGCCATTATTGTAACTGCATAAATGAAAAAGCAGACTCAAATGAAACTATTAGCTCAAGGTCATATTTAAGCAGTAGAGTTAGAATTAAAAATCAGATATGTTGATTCAGTACCCGAGTCTCTTCATTTTACTGTGCCTCCTTAACCACAGAACTAGAACTAATGAGGAGCAGAATCATTACCAGAACTCAGGTGTGCTGACATGGACACTTAATAACATTTACAAGCAGTAGATGGCAAGTAGAAAAGTATTAAATTTAGGATTACCAGTGAGAATGGGTCAAAGGCTATGCAAAGACAAGATGAAAAGAGTCAACAGGGCTATTGAGGGAAAAGGCTCTCCAAGCAGATCTGTGGCAAGCCAAAGGTCAGAGATACAGTCAGGATGATGTCACACAGGCTACTGCATTCTGAGAAGCTTTCAGGAAGAGGCATTTCATAGCCTGGCCCTTCTGACCCTCCTCTCCAATCGCCCTAAAATAATAGGACTTTATGCATCACCCAGGCTCTGTTCTCTAAAATCTTTCATACCTGCTTGCTGACGTACACAATTTTTTTAAACAGAGGAACCTTTAATTCAACATATTGTAGTACAAAAGCTTAAAATGAAAAAGCATGTTGAAAGTATATTGGAAAAGGGCCAGTTGAGTGGCTCACTGGATAAGAGTTGGCTTGGGAGCATGAGCTCTGAGCAGCAGGGCCCCCGGATCCCACATGAGGGCCAATGACGCTGTGCCCTCTACAGCTAAGATGGTGAACAACAGCTTGACCTGGAGCTGGGCTGCCGTGAGTCGCCAGCGATGGTGTAGGCTGCAGCAGGGCTGCAGTGGGCTGCCATGAGCCGCTGTGAGTGGCTGGCAGCCAGTGTGAGCGGCCGTCCAATGGCCGACAACCGATCTGCCTCACCCGGGAAGAGTACAATGATCATAATACCAACATGGGCCAGTGAAGCGACGTCCTCCACAGCTAGACTAAAGAGCAAAAAGGACAGCAACTTGTCTGTTCCCGTTGCCTGATTCCCAAGCGCTGTTCCCCTCTCCCAATTCCCCAATAAAATCTTAAAAAAAGAAAAAAGTATACTGGAAAAAAATGAACATTCCACCACTATAGTAGTCAACAATCAAAAATTATACCAACTGGATTCAAATCATCTCTTTTCATTAGGAAAATATCAATAGAACAATGTCTTGCTGTTCCAAAACATCCTCTGCCTCTCTCTCTCTGAGTCACATCAGTACTTCTTGGTAAATCCTTTACGTATCCGAAATCTTTCATTCTCCACAATGGCTATTCTAAACTTTCTCAATTCACAGTTTCTTGAACCCCCATGGCCCTTTCTTAAAGTTCAGGCTATCAGGTCTGTTTGCTTCCTATTTCTCTTCTTCACAACAAGTTATATGAATCCACTTTCACCCCCTCCCCTCACATTTCACAGGAAGAAGTGTGCTTTCTCCTGCTCAAGGCTAATCTCTCCACCAGGGAACCGATCCCAGACCCACCTGCCTTCTCCATAGCAGGAACCTTGCTCCTTCTCTTTTATACAACCTGTCCTTCTGACTGGCTCCTACCCTAAGCCTAAATATATACTTTAAGTCTCTCCAATCTCTAAAATTGTTATATAATTCCCCACTGCCAAGACAAACCACAAATTCTCTCTATTATACAAAGTTTATCACATTTATTTTCCTACATATAATCTCTCTTACCTTTTTCTCGCTAAGTTGCTAGAGGACCAAAATCCTGCTTCTTTTTACTCTTCACTCAGGTGTTTGCTGAATGATACATGTATTTCTAAGCCCAGGCTCAGCTCAGACCAGGCCTTCTGCTGTCCAACAACTGGGCACAGCAGCCATACAAAATTTGGCTCCATCACTTCCTAACTTAGTATCTGTGCCTCAGTGTCCTCAACTTTAAATCAGGGATAAAAACACCTACTTTTTAAAAAATTAACAATTAAAAATTGTCTAGGGCTGGCCGAGTGGCTCATTGGTTAAGAGTTGGCTTGGGAGTGTGAGCTCTGAGCAGCAGGGCCACCGATTTGGATCTCACATGGGGGCCAGCGACACTGCGCCCTCTACAGCTAAGAACAAAAGGACAGCAACTTGGCTGTTCCCCTCCCCCAATTCCCCAATAAAATCTTTAAAAAAATATTGTCTAAAACACCTATTTTGTAAGGATGTTGTGAGGAGTAAAATAATCTACGTAAAACATCCTGTATAACTCCTACACTATGCTGTCTTTAGACATTTAGTAAACAATGTCCTAATGCAGTAATTTTTAACTTTTTTTGGGACATGGACACCTTTGAGAATCTGAGGACAGTTATGGTACCTCACCCTAACCAAGCATCCATACGTATACACTCAATTTATCATACAATTTAGGGGGGAAGGGGACATACAGACCATCTGAAGGCTATCCATGGACCCCAGATTAATAATTCTTGCTCGAAAATAAAACCATGTTACTGAGCAGACCCAGTGTGCTTTCAAAACTCAATCTGTTACCTGAATTACAACCATCATAGATGCAACCTGAGAAGCTAAAGCTATTAGAACATACAGAAACATTTGAGCAAATTAAAAATCTGGTCCCTCTTTCATTCCTGATATAAGTGGGAAAAGACTGAATAGTGTTGGGGAAAAAAAAAAGTGACATTTATTAAAAGTCTACCATGTGCCATGTGCCACTATCAGAACTATTCAGGTATAATTTGGTTTCAATTCTCAAAACTGGATGAAATAAGGATATCAATCCTAATATTAAAAAGTGGGAAACTAAGGCTCAAAGAGATTTAAAAAACATGACCAAGACCACCCAGCTGCTGCTCACACTCACTTGTTCATGCAAGCACTCTCTCCCTCTCTCTCTCTCTCACTCTCTTTCTATATATATATATATATATATGCGCACACACACACACACACACACACACACACACACACTCACACATCTACATACATGAATCCATTCTTTTGAAATGAATCATTGATTAGAAGGCTGTAACCCTGTGGTGGGGTTTTATTTTAACCTCAGGGAAATGTTTCTCCATGCATATAAAACTGTCTAAGTGAGTATCACTACTAATCCATGTGAAACATTTTTTCAATACTGTATAACTCACATAAAACACCAAAATATATTAGATGATAAAGCTGTTTTAAGACTGTACCTCTTATGCATAATTCTTAATTTCAAATTTTTGTTGTATCAGAATAGCCTGTTTTACAATGGTGGGATTTTAAATAAGCATTATAAAAAGGAACTTAGGAAATGAATACACATTGTTAAAAAAAATAAAATACGAGTAAAGTCACTTTAAATTCTTGTTTTATAATCTAAAAAGTCACTTTAAATTCTTGTTTTATAATCTATCTAAAGTCAAATGCAAATGGTGGTTTCAGTATTTCAATCTAAATATCCTGAGTCCAAGTCCAGTCTTCTACGTCTTTCTGTTTCCTATTCTGTTTCAAGATTTATTCCATATATTTTTATATATTTAGGATGTATTATTATTTCTGATACTTTAGAAAAAATAAAACACATTCTATGATTGGTTAAAATCTTTAGAAAAATGTTCAGTATCCAGTAGATGAAGGTATAACCTCAACATATACAGTTAACAATAAAACGATTTTTAAAAAGTTTCAAAAGGATAAAAGCAAATTTACCTCTAATACATCAGAAGTGATAAGCTTCATTACACGATCATTTGGGTCCTTAAATTCTTCCGTAACTTCAGCTCGCTGAATTTTTTTCTTCATTCTGTATGACAGCTATATGATAATGAATATCTTTTAAAGTATTTTGTTAAGTATAGAAAAAAGTAGGAGAGCAGTAAAAATTGTCTCTCAGTAAACATGGATGAAACGAAAACAGCGCTAAGTATATATTTATTAAATAATCCATTTTTCAAAGACTGTTATACTTCTGAAATACCCTGATGGTGCCATGCCACGTGAAGGTGCCATGCCACTACTTACATAGTCAGGTGAGAGTCAGAGAAGTTCCATAATTTGCCAGCTGATGGCAGAGCCAGAACTAGAACCTAGTGCTCTATTAAACTAGTGTCTCAATTGTCAAAAGATCAAAGACATATCCTATTTTATTAGTGAAAATTTCAACTTTTCACCGACATTAAAATTCCTTGGTCCTCTCACATAGCCATCACAGAGCTGAGCTTTAGCCGAGAGTACACAGCTACTGCAGAAGCCAAACAAGTGGCCCAGCAGGAGGCCCAGCGGGCCCAGTTCTTGGTGGAAAAAGCAAAGTAGGAACAGCGGCAGTAGACTGGCAGATCGTGCAGGCCGAGGGTGAGGTCGAAGCCGCCAAGATGCTTGGAGAAGCACTGAGCAAGAACCCAGGTTACATCAAGCTGCACAAGATCCGGGGAGCCCAGAACATCTCCAAGATAACTGCCATTCACAGAATCATATCTATCTCACTGCTGACAATCTTGTGCTGAACCTACAGGATGAAAGTTTCACCCAGGGAAGTGACAGCCTCATGAAGGCTAAGAAGTTTGGTGACCAAGAATTGAACCCTCAGAGAAAAAGTGGATCTGTTTCTCCCCTGGTGTTTCAGGAGCACACTGCCACCCCTCCCCTAGTATCATGGGATGGTCCCCTCTGCATCTGCCCTCCCACCCCTTCTCAGATGAATGACCCGTTTTCAGGTGAATGACTTTCTTCCTCCCAGTGCTGGCCGGGAGTGATTTCTCAGTGATTTCCTCCAGTGCTGGCTCCATCCCTTGAGGTAGGAAGGCGATAACCACCATCCAAAAAATTCTCAATAAATTTTTATTACTTAAGCTAAAAAAAAAAGAAAGAAAAGAAAAGAAATCCTTGGTCCTCTTTCAGTAGTACCCGTTCTGATATGTGAATAACAGAATGAGCCAATGCAGATGCTGAATTCCATGTTCTCTTCTAACAATCTGCTTAACAGATGGCAGTCAGAAACGCACTGCATCTAAAAGCAGAGACTGAATTTTTGTTTGCAACAAAAAGTAATCAGAAAGCATATTCTCCTATTTTAAGAAGACTTTCTAGAAGTATTGGGAACTATATAATATCCTTTTCACTTTATGGAGACTGAGGTACTTTATGGACAATGAAGCATAATTTCTCATTTCGAAAAAACAATCTATTTTAGTAACATACCAATTTGGGCATTGCTGTAAAGTGAAATGCTTTGTCTAGTCGTAGCTTCCTAAAAATATAAGCTGCATCAAAATGTTGTGCATTGATCAAATCTTGTTGAAATTTTAAAACTTCATCCCAATCCTTCAGGGCAACTCTAATCTGCAAACAAAAGGAGCAAAAAAGTTGTTACTCAATGTAAATCTTTCACAAATGTATTATAATTTTGAAACAATGCCATTTCTATTTAAATCAGTTTGTTGTAAAAATGCTGTACCTGCTTCATATTTCTGTTGGGGGAAAACAATTTACCAAATATTTACCTTTTGTTTTGGTTCACACAGTTGGGTGTTATATAATCCATACAGAAGATACAAAGCACCAACTCTGATCTGGAAGGTGTATGGAGGTAAAAAATATCGCCAAGCCAAAGCTAAAGCTTCTTTTGTAAATGTATTCTTTTCTAAGTTTCTCATTCTGCCACTAGAAAACAAAGAGAAAATATATTGTGAATTTAATAAGCAATGGACAAAAATTAGAAGAGGTATATTCTAGCAGCTACTAAAAACTGGATGAGCATTCCACATCTGACCCCTTTGTGATTCAAGCACAAAGATCTAATCTTCTGCTGTGTTTCTTCCACTGAGGCACAGGCATACACTAGGTAAATACAATGCATCTTCATAAAGCATCAACTTGACTTGCTGAATTGAGGAGCAAAAGGGGAGAGACTACAAATTATTCCTGGTTAAGAATTTAAAACATTTAGTGTATTAAAATAACCATGGTTATGTTACAGAGTAAAATACAAAAGTTACATGCATTTTAGTATATAATGGATATTCTCCTCAATGCTCTCAGGGATTCACACTAAACTGCATTTGTCCTTGGGACACCTAGATTAAAAAAAAAATTAGAGACCACCGTACAATGTAACCCACCCACTCCTTCCATTTTTGCAGGGCAAGTCTCACCAAAGTAAAGAAGGAGCAGGGTAGGAAAGCTGGCTCCTATGCTCCCAAAGCCTGGGCTCTTCAAATAATAAATTTAGTAAAAGAATACAAAATGCCTACTGTAGTATAAGCAACCAAAGCCAACTTCTAAAGAAAATCCACCACTCCTCAAGTGGTCTCTACTTTTTTCCTCATTTTTAGTTTTTCCTCATTAGCTAAAAATTGAGGTAACCCCAGCAAAATTTTCCTGAACTGCCACTTTTCTCAAAAGGGATACAGTGAAAGATCACAGGTTTTGGAAACCTGTATCTGTTCTACCACCTACTAGCTGTGTGATCAAGGAGAAATTACTTTACCTCCTTAAGCCTCAATTTCCTCATCAATAAAACACCTGCTCTTCAGAGTTGTTGTATGGATTAAATACTTTAAGATGTTAGTTTCTCTCCCTTCATTAACTGTATAACAAACAGCTCTCTGTCTTCCATCCCCTGCAGTGCACAAACTACATAGGTAATTATATTACATTAAAGAGAAAAAAAGAGAACTTTTACATTTTATTCAGCAAAACGAAGTTTTAACCACAAGAACTGATTCACTCAATTATTTAGCCTTTTCAATATTGTATGTAATATGCTAATGGATACCAGATTCATCCAGTCACTGTCCTCACAGAGCCCTGTCCAGTGGAGGGAAAATTTAAAATATTAATAATGAATGTTTACTGAGCATGGACGGTGTGCTAATTTATTAACACATATTCGCTAATTTAATCCTCAGAACTACAATACGAGGAATTATCATTCTCCGTTTTACAGATAAGGAAGCTCAAGCAAGCACTCTACTAAAAGTCAGTTAGTAGGCTCTGATTCAAATTCAGGTAGCGAGGCTCCATAATCTGTGCTCTTAACCACTATACCGCCTTTTGAACTACACACTTACAATAAAGTGCAGTAAGTCGAGAGAGAAAATAAGCAGCGTGCCATAGGAAAAAAAGAGCAGAACACCTGGTTAGTTTAGGAAGGCTTCACGGAGGAATTGTCATTTGAGCTGAAAGCTGCGTACAGAATACGACGGTCAGGCAAAGGGAGTTAGGGGAAAGCTCCAGGCTTAGGACACGCCTGAGAGGGCCACAGACAGATGCTGGAGACAGAAAGGGAGTGTATGGCGCGGGCTGGTAGATGAAGCCGCAGAGATGGACAGAGGCCAGTCACATAGGGTCTCGCCAGCCATGTTAGAGAATTTGAGCTGTACCTCGAAGGCAATGAAAACCACTGAAACCTGGTCAGCAGGGCAACGGCATGATCAAATCTAAGCTTTGGAAAACATAACTCTGGTTGTTGTATGTAAAATGAATTCAATCGTGCGTTTTGTCTTTGCTTAGGTGTTTCTTTGGTTTTGAAACATAGGGTTCTAGAACAAGAATGGGGAAACGACGGTGACTTAGGTCATGATGGGGCAGTGGAAATGGAATGCGAGCTTAGAAGGGCCGCCAGGCAGAAATAGATATTCCGAAAAAGGCCGCAGAAGAGGGTGCAACCGAAGCCAACGAAATCGCCCCGGAAAGTGCGTAGCCTGAGCACAGGAGAAGGCCCAGAAAAGACCGAGGTAGTGCGTTCGGAGACTGCGGCTTTTCTTAGCCCTTCCCAGGTGCCAGGATGCCAGGGGAAGTGGGCGTGCAACTTCCTACGCCGCATCTGAGCAGACGCCGGGAGGGAGGCGCATAGCGGACTACAAACACCCACCAGAAGATGGTCCCGAACTTCATGCTCCTCCAGAGCTCCGTGAAGTCCTCGAAGCGCACGCTGTCCTTCTCCTGGAAGCGGCTGAGCAGCGCCTCACAGTCGGTCTGCAGGCCTGGAGGGGTCCCCATGTCTGCAAAGCCGGGACACACCACGAGTGGGCAAGGCCCCGGCGGTCGCCCAGGAAACCTGGTTCGGACGCCCCGCCTCCTAAGGTGTGACGCACACGCGCTGTGACGTGTTATCCGGTCGCGTTAGCTCCGCCTCCAGCCTAATCCATGCTGGAGGTCGCGATGCTTACTGCGCGTGCGTAAACACCTCCCCTCTCCCCCCTCCCATTTTTTTTCTTTTTTTTTCAGTTCAACTCTCCTTCACCTAAACCTAAAGGACTAAGATCAGCCCTTTTAATTTCACTGAAAAGTTTTATATCTCAAGTGTCCTATGCGCCCAAGAAGGATTTTAGGTTTACATTAGACTAGCTTATGTAAATTGGCTTTACCCTTACTATCACTGCCCTTTTAAAGAAACCTTAGAGTGACAGAAGTCAACTTTCAGAGCTAGGAAAGAACAGTTCCCAGCCTCATCCAACCCCCTCCTGGAAAGAAGATCTAAAAAAGAGGGTCTACTA